GTGCTGGGGAGTGCTGTCCTGCCAGGACTTTTATCTATTATAAGTCCCATGTGGTTTCACAATTGTGTGAGAAAGTTTCCATGACACTATTTGAAGCGTGTGCCAGTTCTTCCAGTGACCTGACCAATAATACATCCCTGAACCAACATGGCTGAACTGAACTGTATTTGGGACGGTCGAGTTTGCAAAAGGCACTAGAAATGAAAATTCTTTCATTTTTGGTCATGCTTGCACGTGATTAACTCATGTCATATTGCTTAAAGAGCAATGAATCACATCACTTTCTTTGAAAAAGTGTTAAACCAGGGAAAAAGTCATCACTTCTCGCATTTCTTGCCTGTGCCCAGAATTCACAAGCACACCCCAAACCTGGAGAAAATGTTCACAGGAACATGCTACAATTAATGCAGGTTGTGCCTCTTTTGGGGAGTAGGTGAGAATTGGACTTAAAGGGACAAGTCATACCACACAGCTCCCCCTGCATCCTGCCTCCCCACCTCCCCCAATGGATTTGGAGGAGTGCAGAGATCGGGTTGGGACGGGGGCGGGGTTGAGGCTTGTAGTGATTGTGAGTAAGGGCACAGAATGACTGGTCAACAAGATGATTTTCAGGAAGTTTTTGTGAGTCTCTGCACTGCCTGTTAAAATCCAATCTTCAATATCCATCAGTCAAAAGCTGTGTTCCTCTCAATACATGCCTCATCCTTGCACCTCCACTATAAGGCAGCACGGTGGCTCAGTGGTTAGCACTGCTGCTGCACAGCGCCAGGGACCCTGGTTCGATTCTACCCTTGGGTGACTGTCTGTGTTCTCCCTGTATCTATGGGGGGGTTTCCTCCCATAGTCCAAACATGCAGGTTAGGTAGATTGGCCAAGTTAAATTGCCCATAGTGTCAAGCAATGAGCAGGCTAGGTGGGTTAGCCATGGAAAATGCAGTCACGGGGTTGGGGTGGGATGCTCTTCAGAGGGTTGGTATGGACCTGAAGGGCTGAATGGCCTGCTTCTACACTGTAGGGATTCTATAGCTGTACACTATTAAATGCACAGAATGGTACCAAATAAGTGCCTTAACCTTGTTCCACAGCCACTTAATTAGGTCATGGCTGATTGTACCTCAAACTGATTTGCTTAATTTTCCCATATCTCTTGATACCCAATGAAACCTGATCACCTCAGTCTCTCAAGCAGCACTGAACTCACTTAGAGGAAGCAAGTTCCATACTGCTGCTGCAGGTTGTCAGGGTCACAGAGGTTATAACAATGGGAGTTTGGAATATTCCACCATCTCAGAAAGACTGGGATGAAGAGATGTTAGTGGGAGAGTATGGAGGGATCTCACTTTTCTTTCCAACTTCCAGCACCTCACATTGCCTTGTTGTCTCATGGTCACCATGTCAGTAAAAATTTAAGAGAATAACGCAAACAACTGCTGAAGATCTGAAACAAAAACTGAAATTGCTGGAGAAACCCAGCAGGTCTGGCAGCATCTGGGGACAGAAAGCAGAGTTAATGTTTCAGGTCCAGTGGCCCTTCCTCAGAAGCTGAGTTTTGCTGAATTTAAAACTTTTAGAGAGGTCACTATCATTTTGTCTTTAAGAGATATGTTCATGACAACATTCCTGTTTCATATCATGTAGCCAGAGGGTATGAAGATCCCAAACAAAAACAAAGTTGCTGGAAAAGCTCAGCAGGTCTGGCAGCATCCGTGAAGGAGAAAACAGAGTTAACGTTTCGGGTCCAGTGACCCTTCCTCAGAACTCATGATATGAAGATCCCGCACTCCATCTTACCCTGGAGATCACTTGGAGCATGACACTCACGGAAGCATGCTTCTCTGTGGTAAACTATGAATGTAATACTAGCCCAGGCATGTATATCCCTGAGGAATGTTATGTTGATATTTAAGTGATAGTTGTAATAACTGTCTGTTGGATCCTTCAATACCAGCACATCCACAGCTAATTTCATATGTCATGGGTGATAACAGAAGCTGCTGGAGATGAACGCACACCAGACTTCTCCTGATAGTAATCGCTAAAAATACCAACATACCATCAGACCATTTCATGGCATCGTCGAGTTGGCTGGGCAGACCCTGCCACTGCACCATGTCCTTCGGGTAATCAGGATCCATTCTCCGCAACTGGTCATCATATCTCCAGTATTGGTTGCCCTTAAAGAAATAGGTTTTGTCGTCGTGGGGACACACAAAGGCAGCATCAATACTCTTCACGGACAGTTCAAAGTCGCTGATGGAGCGTGGGTAACTCTCCTCGACATTGTTATCTTTGAACACCCAGTACCGCTCCCCTGTTAAACAGGATTAGAGACATACATTCAGGCTTAATGTACATCCAACCATGCCACTCCTACTGTTTGGTTAACCATGTTCTTTATTTTTTTATAAAGTATTGAGTTTCTGCAAAACAATAGATCACTACAGAATGGGAGGCCATTCAGCCCAGTACTGACTCTCCAACAGTGCATCATTCCCTCAGCACTGACCCTCCGACAGTCCAGCACTCCCTCAGTACTGACGCTGTGACAGCGCGGCACTCCCTCAGCACTGACTCTCCGACAGTGCGGCACTCCCTCAGCATTGACCCTCTGACAGCGCGGTGCTCCCTCAACACTGACCCTCTGACAGTGCGGCGCTCCCTCAGCACTGACCCTCCGACAGTGCGGTGCTCCCTCAGCACTGACCCTCCGACAGTGCATCATTCCCTTAGCACTGACACTCCGACAGTGCGGCACTCCCTCAGCACTGAGCCCCCGACAGTGCGGCACTCCCTCAGCACTGACCCCCCGACAGTGCGGCACGCCCTCAGCACTGACCCTCCGACAGTGCAGCGCTCCCTCAGCACTG